GGGGGGGGGGGGGGGGGGGCAGTTACAGCTCCATTCATTCACACATTTTATAATTGTCTCTGTGTGCCTGCATCAACAGGATGAGTCTCACTGGGCTTGTCCACATGTGTGTGTGTGGATATGTGTGTGTGTTCTCCAGCACAACAAAACATTCTCATTGGAGAAGTCCAAACACCACCATCATTGGGAATCCGTTGCTCCTCTGTTTTTCTTGTTCTTTCTTCTTTCTCCTTATTGTTTCCTGCTTAGGTGCGTTTCATGGAGTCGTGACTGGTTGGATCTATGATTGCATCAGTAGTCCTCATAGTGTTTGATCAAAGGGAATTTACTTTGTACTTTGATACTTACCAAGGCTTCTGTCTGTCTGGGATCAACAACTTATCCTGGAAAGATTTTCTACCACTGCTCACCTGCCAATGCTGCCTCCATGCCTCCTAATTCAACCAACCTTCATTTACTTTATATTTACCTGGTTTTACATACGAAAAGGGAGGTTCTGTAGAGTAATTTCAATAGTCAATGTGTTACCTGCAATAGGCATCAGTCTGAACAACCACAGTTTAAAAAATCAAGAGAAAAGAAGTTCTCATTGAGGAATTAAAAACAACAGATTTCTGAAAACAGCTTTATTTATTTATTTATTTATTTATTTATTTAGTTATTTATTTATTTATTTTGCATCATGTGCTTATGTGTATACTTATTTAGACTACATGCGTCAAACCTAAGGCCCGTGGTGATTCCCGTCTGGCCTGCCTACCCCCCCACCCCCACTGTAGGAAAGTGAGAGAGTTCAGAATTTAAGACTACAGCTATTCACCACAACTCTTAAGTGAGTAAAACTCTCTCACTTTTACTTTTAATAGTATTTCTGTTTTATTTATTTCACATTTAGTTGGTCATACATGTATACTTTTTAATGTATACAAGAGGACGTGTTAAAACTCTGTTTCTGTGCAGGAAATACCACATAGAGCTCAGTTATTGTTTGTTAACAGTTCTCAGACATAGCAATGAGATGAGGAACATGATGTTTTGTGCAGTGGCGGCTGGTGGATTTTTCTCCAGGGGGGCTACAACTCCAAAATAGGCTCATCTCCAAAAGCAATCAAACATGTACTAAGTTGCATCACGACAGTGTACATATTAAACAAATGAAAATAATAAAACAACATTACAATGTCATGTAGTGTTTTATTTTTATTTTTGTACATAAATTTTGCTCTTCAGTAACTGAGAAGCAAATTTCTTCATGACTCTGGTTAAAGTCAGGGATGTTTTAACTGGATTCTTATAGAGCATGGTCAGTGCAGCGAGATGTGATGTTGTACCTGAGGAAAGTCTGGATTCTCTTCAGTGTTGAAGCTCCTCTCAGATTCAGCTGTGGTCAGAGGAGATGTGATGAGAATCTTCAGCAGAGTCACAGTCTCTGAAGGTGTCCTGCAGATTGTTCTCCATGAAGAGCTGGGACAGATCCACAGAATCACTGCAGCTCCTGAACTACATCAGGCTTCTTGGTCCTGTTCAACATTGGGTGAGCCTCCATGGTCTTCAGAACTGCTTCAGAGAACTGTCCTGTAAGAACCTGTCTGCCTGCAGCACTGATCAGATGTTTTATGAATGTCTCAAGATGGTGTCACAAACCTAAAACAATAAATGCACAAATTTAATTCAATATGAAGGTGGCTACAAGTGAGCTTTCTAATAAATATTTAATATATAGAGAACAATTAATGTCATTTCATTAGCAAAAAATTGTTGCACCTCCAAAGTAAACCATTAATTATATTTTTATTTTAAAAATATATTCACTTTATTAAAAAAAACAAAATAAACTATGCACAACAGAAGAAAAAAATATAAATAAAATGAAAG